ATTAAGCAGAGTCCTTGTTTATTGGGCAAGTTCTTTTGGAATTGAATTAAGAAAAGCTTGTTTCATATTAACATCATCGAATCTAACAAAGAGATAAAAGTAATAAAAAAATTATTAGTAATGTTTGTCAAGATTTTTTGGATGGAGCAAATTGCATTTTAACTTGAAAAATTGCTTTCTAATCTTGTCCATTCGATGAGCTTCTTGGCCACAAAATATTGCTAAAAACTGAGATACAACTTATATGATTGTAGGGTCTTAAAGAAATTGTAATTGTTTGTATTCACCAATATTATCTTAAAAGTTTTTTAGGGTTCCTACCAATCTTGAAACAAATCTGATTAAAACCATCTGCATTGTGATGTTGGGATTGGAGTTCAATTCAACTAGTCCCCATACTAGAAATTCTTGGAATCTTTAGTGTCATTTCAATAAAGGAATGTTATGAATTATGAATACTAAGAATCTTTATAAGGATGAGGAGCTATGAGCTTGAAAATGAGGTTATTGTTGGTCACTATCCATAGGTTCTAGGTTGTAAACTTATAGATTAACATTTGAAACTTCAACTGTTAGTTTTATCATGAAGATCTATGAGAGGATATTTCCAATTACTGTTAAAGCTCTTCCATTATCATCATTAAAAAATGCTTCATCAGAATCCACCATATAAGAATCTAATAAATCTATAGTAGGAAAGATATCTTCAATAAAAAAATTAAGAAAGTCTTTCTTATGCCATCTGCTTGAACATGTTGGGAAATATGTTTAGTGTGGAAGAAATCATTAGCTAAGAAGGAGATTGATAAGAATCATTGGGTGTAGTTTCAAGAGTAGGGGTAGAGGAGGTTGCAATTGTGATTATGGTTATTCTTAGCTTTAGGGGTTGAGGAAGTAGGTGTTCTGCTGTCATTTTGGGCTTTTGTTTAATTGGATTTTTTTTCTCTAAATCTATTTATCTATTTTTCTAAAATGCCAAAGAAAGGTTATTCTGAGGGAAAAGTGTAGAATGGTTATTCTAAGAAGGGTGTGAAGAATGGTTTTATCTGAGGGTATAAGGTTATAGTTGTGGATGAAGTTGTGAACATTGGTATGCTTGGTTTAGGTTGGTATTGGAATGGGGTGAAGAAAGGTTTTGGAGCTGAAGGTGAGGTGAATGCTTGGTAAAAGGTATCATGTATTCCAGTGTTTACTAGGGCAAAGAAATTTGAAGCTTGTTGTTGTTGGAGTTTCTGACAGAGTTCATTTTGGAGATATACAAGTTGAATCTTGAGAATTTTCTTTTCTCTTTCTTTTTCAACAAAAGCCTAAGTGTAACCATTGTTTCTTTCAACTAGTTGTCTAATCTCTTGATCTACAGTAATCATTCTTGCTTGGATGTCAAGAATAATATTCTGGAGATTGACAAGATTCTGGTTAAAATATTGGTTCATTTGGTCTAACTTGTTTTCTATCTTATGCAAGGTTGTATTTTGAAAAATAGAGTTTTCTATTTACTAATTCAAGACTACTTTTACTTAAGAGATTCCTTTCTGATTTTCAAATTCATTTATATTAGTGGGGTTTAGGATTTTTGGGGTATGTCTGTATTGATCTTTTGTGAATTCCTGGGAAAGAAAAAATTTTGCATCATAAGAGTAAGAGGTTGGCAACATTATGCAAATTTAAAAGAGAGGTTGATTTTTCTTTGGCTAATGTTTCTCAAGCTTTATTGCATCATTGACTTGTTGCTTTAGCTTAGCCTTTTATGCTTATTCTTTAGCAATGTAAGTAAGACCAGTAGCATACCATGGTAAAGTTTTTCTTGGTCTAGGTTTTGGCTTTTCAGGTTTTTAGTTTGAACAATTTGGTTAAAGGATGTTTGGTTTCTTATGTTTGGGATAAATGACATAATAATCAAACTTTCTCGATGGTTCACCAAGGAGATATACTTCAGGGTCTATATTCTCAAATCTTTTTTTCAACTTTTGCTGAAAAGATTTGCGTCTTGGTTTCTTTTAAGAACCATCATTATCAAAGAAACTTCTACATCCTTTTTTCTAGCCTTTGCAACTACAATCAATATCCTTATAGCAATATCGTTTTGGAGATTTGTATGCATATATAGGTAATGCATTAGGCTTGAAGTGTGAAATTGCTACATTTGATTTTGGTTGACATGGTTGCATCATGAGTTGGGAAGGGAAGACAGAGGTTGGAGTAAAAGTTTTTTCTTTGCTAGTTGTGGTCAAATTTGATTGTGACAATACCATTTGGGTTTGTGGTGTAAAAAGGATCAAAGTTTTGGATGGGATTATTTTGGTTCCAAAACTTTTGATAACTTGTTGTCCATGATTGAAGAAGTATGGCAGCAAGTTTTTCATTTGAGATTTATTTTAGAATGTGAATACATCTGGGATCCTTGTTAGCAGCTTCTAGCTTTACAAAGACTACAGCACTAGTGTTAGGCAAATGGAGGTTTATGGTGTGATTTTGGATTCTGTAAGTCATCTGATAGTGAAGAGTTACCTAGAATCCTTTCATTTGAGTTCCAACAAAATAAACTTGAACTTTTAGAGCATCAAGGAGAGTTGGATCATGTAGAAACATGTTGTAGTTGGGAAACACTATGAAGAAAACAATTCCTGCATTAAAAGTTGTCTAAACTATGCCAAGTATTGCATGCTTATAATCTTTGAACCTTGTATCTAGTAAGGCCATTTTGGTACAAATAGGAATACCATTTTTCCTATAAAAGTTTAATGCTATTCTAATAGAATCGAAGTGAATGTGGGTGTATCTTTACTCTATCCAATGTTTTGGAGATTCTAAAGGAAATTGGAGAGTGACAAAGTGCTCTAAGTTCTTACTGAGAAAATACACTGATCGAACTTGGAAGCTTGAATATACTTTTTTGGAGCTTGAGATTTTTGTTTGATAAGGGTTTTTATGGATCTAACTAAGGAAGTAGAAGATCTATAGAAAGCATTATAGAGATTTATAAGAGAAAGTTTTGTTTCTAGGATTTTTTTATTTTTTGGGATATAATTAATTTCATAAACAAAATCTCCCAAAAGAAGAGGATTTTCTAAGTACAAAAAAAGGTAAAGAAAAAGAAGATCTAGGGGTTAAAGGTTCTGAATCACTAGTGTTTGACTTATTCATGATAAAGAAGTCTTTGGCTATCAAATTTCACTCAATCTAGTAATAGATTGTAACTTAACTCTATATAACTCAGGAGAGCTTAAAGCTCTGATACTAACTAAATGACAGATTGGTTGCCTTCTTCAAGGAGATGCCAAACATAAGTAGTCTATAGTTCAAGCATAAGACCAAGCCATTCTAACCGGTACTCAAGACTAAGTGCCTTTCTAGTATGATGATGAGCTAGTGGATTGACTTTTATTAAACTATGCCTTTTGCTATGGTAATCTACTTCAGTATTCCTTCGTATAGTAACTTTTTTTTGTCAAGTAGATCAATGGTCTATTTACAACTCTTGCCCAAAAATCCCAAACCCCACTGATAGAGATAAATATGGTAATTAAAAAAGAATTTTTCAAGCAAAAACAGTCTTGAATTGACAAACAAAAAATTCTATTCCCCAAAATGCGACCAAATGACATAGAATTTAATCAAACATAAACTAGTTCTTCCTATTATAGCTATAAAAAGAAACAAGCCAAATTCTCTAAAAATGGGATCTCAAATTTCCAAAATCACATTTTAAATTCAATAAAGATATTTTTAATATAAAAGCATTAATTATCAATTTTTATTTTATTTTATTTTGCATTTTTAATTCTATTTATTTTTTTTTATTTTTAATAATTATTTTTTATTATGTTAGATTTTTGTTGATAACATATTATTTTATTTGAAAATGATCAAAAACTATAAATTATATGAAAAAATATTTTTAAAAAATAATAAAAAAGCATAAATAAATTGAGTTAAATAATATAATTTTTTTTTACCTTTTAATTTCCAATGTAAAAAAAGAAAATAACAAAATAGAATAAAGACAATGACAAAGTAAAATTGAATCGTACTTATATAATTTTATATCTTAATTAACCATCAAATCATTATTTATGATAAGTGTTAGCTTTTTAAAAATTAGAGTTTAAATTTTAATTTGAAAGCTTTAAATTCAATAAAGATAACTTTAATTTAATGTATTGGTTATATTTTTTGTACTTGAAATTTTAAAAAATGTATAATTTGATATTTAGAAAAATGTCAAATTATGCTATTAATACTTATATGAAATATGAGATTTAATCCTTCTAATATAATTTATAAAAATATACTACTCTTACTAAATTGATTTGAAATTCTACTCCAATCATTAATTCCATTAAAATTTTTTTGTCAAATTTATTAATGCGATGTTGGCTTGTGAACATAATTTTTTATTTTGTTGATATGATATTTTGATTGATTATTTATAAAACTTATGAAGAAGTGGATTTATGAAAAAAATAATATTTTATAATAATAAATTATTTTTATAATTTTCAAAATATATAAATATATTAAAAATATAAAATGTTTTTCTAGTTATTCTCTATTTCTCTCTCCAATCCCTACTTAAATTAAGACTAAATTAAATATTTTCATTTCTTTCCCACATAATTTTAAAAAAATTTCATTTCGTTCTTAATAATAATTATTATTTGTAATAGTAATAATATTAAAATTAGATATGAAAATTTAAAATATAGTACAATAAAATGATATAAATATAATACGAATAAAAATCACAAAAATAATATAATTTAAAATTTTAATAATAATTATATATAGATTTAATAAAATTAAAAAATATATTTTATATTTTTATATCAACATAAATTATAATATATAATTTTCATATAAAATATAATATAAATATATAAATTTTAATATTTTATATGATATAAATATATTATAGACGATATCTAACAAAATATATTTACTCCGATAACCGATTATGAAGTAGCTAAAATATTTGTTAAGTGAGAACAAAAGAACAAAAAAGAAAGGTCAATGATAAACTTTTCTTTCTTCAACAACACAAAAACAAAGCCTTGTAACAACTGCTATTCTCATTTACATCCAACAATAAATAAAACACAACTGGGTTTCTCAACTTTCCATTTTCTTCAACCTTAATTCTATTTCACTTTCAAACATGGGCATCTCATGGAGCAACACAAGCAACAGCCATAGGAGGAGAAACCAAAACGACCTCCATGCTCCTCCACCTCCTCCACCTTTCTATTACCCACAAGAACCCTCTTTCCTCCCTACTCCACCCCCTCCTCTCCCTTCAACTAGCCACCCTTATACTGCGCATGCCCCAGCGCCTCCAATTCACAACAATTACTGCTGTTCCCCTCCGTTCAATTCCTGCAGTTACTCAAACCCCATGATGGGCCGTTTCCCTATTCAATACCAACCTTATTACGCCAACCAAAATAATGGGTGGCCAGCTATTCGTGCTCATGCCGTGTCGGCACCGCGGCCTTATGTGGAGCACAAGAACGCTAAGAAAGTGAGGAATGACGTAAACGTACATAAGGATACGCTGAAGCTCGAAGTAGACGAGCAAAACCCTGATCATCACTTGGTCTCTTTCGTTTTTGATGCCTTGTTTGATGGAAGGTATAAAAGAACCCTTTTTTTTTTAATTTTTTGTTGTTGATTAAATTTGGGGTCTGGTTAAAGGTTTTTACAGGGAAAATTGGAGATGGTTTTTTAGTTTAAGGTTTATAACTGCTTTTATTTTTGGATAAAAATTGCAAACAAGTGAAAACTGAGATCTTATTATTGAATTTTTATTTGAACTTATTTGGGACGTCCATGGTTAGATAACTACTGGAGAAAAAAGAAATTCAAGTCAAATCCAAATTTGGTGTAGCAGGTGTCATGTGACCAAATAAATTGCAAAACAATGCAGAACGGAGGAAACAGTTTTGTTTTTTGTCATTAAATGACTAAAGAAAGGTGGAAAATTGCCAACAGTTGCGTGGCGTTGGTAGCCTGTTGGCAGTGTATTGGACTTTTGATTCAGATGATCAGCCTTAAAATCCTGATAACCTCAAGTACCAAAAAAAAAAAAAAAAGAAAATTAGATTATGTAATAGGATTTTGGATGTTATACGAATTTTAGGCTAGTCCATGTAATTCCATTGTCTTCTATAGCGACTCCATAAACTGATCAAATCTGAAGGATTAAGAATCCTATTTAACTAAGATGTTCCTGAAGTTTTCTGTCTGGCTGAGCAATAGTTAGTCATAAGAATAGTTAGAAGCATAGGCGTTATAAAGACTTGCAATATAGTGTGAGCCATGATCCAAGCTGCATTTTATAAGCAGATGAACTTTCTTATTAGAATTGGGAATTGTATATTAGGCGACTGCTTTTCTAGCTTTAACTAATCAAACTTTGAGTACCATATAAGCATTAGGAACTGTGAAGGCTATAATAGTGAGGGAATGTGGATTGGAAATGAATTGGAAGGCTTTCTCTTGAAGTTCCATTAAAAGATGCTAAGTTTCACTTCATCCTTAGAGCTTTTAATGGCAATTGAAATGTTTATACAAAGACTTTGGAATTGAACTTTGGAACTTAATAGGGCCGAACTGTGGTTAATAGAGGGGGCACTCTAGTTCAGCATGCATATCTCCGTACTGTAAAGCAAAGTCCAAAAGGGCATTACTTTGCTACTTTAGTTTTCAAGGGGGACTAACCAGGATTCATCTCTTTATCCGTAATGATTCAAGCCATAGAGTATTAGATCATGTCTTTTCATTGAGTTCTTTCCTTTTTCATCACCTTTGATTTATGCCTCACATGGAGTGTAGGGTATGCCCACATATATAAGTTCCTGTTTTCCAGGAATGTATTATTGGTTGAAGATTGTTAGCTGGACAGCAGATCATAATACTGTAATGCTGTCGCTTGTGAAGCGAATGACTTAAAGTTTCAAACCTGTTAACTTCATCATTTGCGCTGGACGAGCTGAATGGCATTAGGTAACCTACTTTGGCGGACTAGATATATTTTCATTAAAGAGCTACTCCCTTAAGGTCTTCTATTGCTTGTAAGTTCAAATTATTTTTGACAAATGTTGGCGGGCAGTTAGGATAGATGCCTTCAATCTCTGTTTTTTTTTTTTTTTAACCATCCCTGAATTTCTTTGCTCTCCTATAAACAGCTATTCACAATGTTCATAAGAACTGTCGAGTAAACTATGTCATTTTATGAACACTGCTGATAAGAAGAGTTGGGGATAGGTTGGTGGCAACGAGTAGTGGAAATTTTTACCCACAATTTAAAAGAATATGCTGTTGTTCTTATGTTGATTATTGCTTTTACTTTTAACTTCACCATTTTGTCAGAAAGTCCTCCCTTCTAAAAAGCTGCTCTTCATGATTGAAGTTTTTACTATACCTAGATAAAGAATTGGATGTCGATAATTTGCATCTTGAAAGTTACCCATTTTAAAATATTTCATTCATGTAGCTTTGGAGTGTACCAAAATGCACATCTATTTGTCAACCTTCCCACCTATCTTGCAGGTATATTTGCATTTTGTTCCTTACTTATTAGATTTAGTAGCTCGTGCTTACTTTTGATTTTTCTGTTTGGTTTTATCTTAATTAGCTTTCAAGGAGTGTAAGACATCAAATTTGTCCGACCTCGATCAAATTTACTATTTTTATTAAATAATAAATAAGATAATAATATTATTAAATACAATAATAAAAATTAAACAAAAATACAAAATATCAAAAATACAAAATATCAAAAAAATACAAAATACAAAAAAAAGAGAACAGAAAAAGACAAAAAAGGGGAGATGGCAGTGGTGCCTTCCCCGGTACCATTGTCACCATACCCTACCCCCCACTCCTCTGATCACCATACCCTAACATTCATACCACTACCTTTATCTACGCTCTTACCACTGTCAAATTAGACAAAAACAATAAAAGGGACATGGGGCTCGTGCTTGCGCCCTCATGCTGTGCCCTATGCCACTTCCTTAAGCACAAAGCACTGCCAAAGCTCTATAAATAGAGCTCCTGGTCGAACCTGAAAGAAAAAAGAGGAAAAAAATGCTGCAAAAAATAGAAAAAGCTTTCAGCCAGAAAAAACAACAAAAAAAAAACATATAAAAAAATAACTCAGTCCCTTGGAATGGGGAACCTAGCGTCGAGAGTTCCTGCACAAAGAAAAAAACAAAGTCAGTTTCAACAAAAAAAAAGAGAGAATAAAAAAAAAAAGAGGTTTGACCGAAACTTTTAGGCCAGATCTACGCTGTTTAGGGTACTTTCAAGGGAAATGGGGGTTGGATTTGTGTTTAGAGGGTTAAGAAGAACATTTTAGGTGATTTTTGTTTTTTTCGATCACCGGCGACGACTGCTGACGATCATCGGCCACGGAAACGGTGGCGGTGAGGGCAATCGGTCGATCATCTGCATTTCGCTGAAGGAAAAAAATGGCTTTTTTTTTTGGAAGGAGAAGAGAATGACTGAAAAAAATTGGACATTTTTATATAAATGGTGAAAATCAAAACCACGCCGTTTCAATAAAGACCAAAATGACGTCGTTTTGAACCCTGAGGATCTGGCGTCAACCCATGACCCGACCTGAGGTCCGCACACCCGACCCGACTTCCCGTTTCTCCTTCAGCCTCTGATCGGTCCATCTGAATCGAACCAGACCGAACCAGATCGTCTCGAATTGTTGAACAGACCCAAATCAAACTATCGGTCTGAACTGTTCGTTGATCGAACCATTGATCGGTTCGGTTCAGGTAAAAAAATTTTATTTATTTATTTAAATTTTTTAAAAATATTATTTTTGTCATTTTAATTATTATTCTTAATATTTATGCATGTAAAAATGTTTAAATTTAACAGAATAAATTTTTTGTTGTTTTATAATAATAATAATTAATAAAATATATATAATAAAGTATATAATAAAAGTTTTTGATAATTATATTAATTTTATAATAAATCTTATAAAATAATAAAAAAATAAGAAAAAATTTTTTTTATCCGACGATAAGATTCAGAGGTACTCTAAGTAGTGATGCTTTACGAAATTTATCGGTGAAAAGATTTTTTTTAATATTATTAGTATATTGAAATATTTATAGAAAATCTTCAATATAATAAAATTTTTTTTTCTTCAAAATTTCAATTAAAAATAAAAAAATAAAATAAAATTAATTAATAAAATTTTTTAAAAAAGAAAATAAAATGTAAATATCAACATGATAACATTCTGTATTGCATGCATGATATAATTTTTACGAAAAGTAAATTCAGACCTTTAAGGATGAGATTCTAAGGTATTTTGAGAAGTGATCCCTAGAAAATCTCTAGGTGAGAAAAAATTCTTTTAATGTTACTAACGCATTGAAAAATTTTAAGAATTATTTCAATAAAAAAGTTCAAATTTATTTTTTTCGAATAATTTTTTTTTAAATTAAAAAAATTAAAAACCAATTTTCAATAAATGAATAAATTAAGAAAATTATTTTTCAAACACAAAAAATGAGATTGTTTTTTATCAAAATTAAAAGATAACACGTAGTTAATTAGTACCGTTTTAAACGGGCATTGTGGGGGTGCTAATCTTTTCTCATGCGTAATCGACTCTCGAACCCAAACTGTTATGCAGACCTTAAAATTATCCTTTTAATAAATTTTAATTAATTTTAAGATTTCATTAAAAGGATATGTTTTAGTAGGTGGTCAATCACACTTAGCTCAAAAAATATTAGTGGCGACTCCGTTTTTCGTTCTTTTATTTTTGTTTTCAAATTCATCGAATGGACAGAAAATCGTTACGACAACTTAGCAATTCCACTAGGGACGTCTTTTTATTTTCGAGAGTCATACCAAAATTAACTACATGTTATTCTCAAATTTTGATTTAAATAGTTCTAATCGGTTTCTTAGATTTTTATTTTTTCACTTTTAACAAAAAGGTAAAAAAAATCGAAAAAAAAAATTCTCACATTTTTTTATACTATGCCTCTTATGCTTTATTTTTTATATATATTACTCAACAAATTAGGATATACTTGCATACATAATGACACGATGCATCTCATGCATGAGCTTTATACCTAGGCTCTGTCTTTTATAGGAAGAAGTAGAATACCTATGCCCTCATGAGGTAATAACCTCTACAATGGCAAGCGAAATACTTTAACTCAAATTGAATCCTTTCTATTCGTAGCCTATAATGGGTGAAGATTAGGGTACCTTACTAGTCTAACATGGACTACAGTGAAGAGCAATTTGAGAACCTTTAGAGCGTGTCAATCTAAACTCAGCATGTAATAAGCTTAAGAAATCAGCCTTAGGTAGAGCCTTGTCCATCTTCTTGTAAGAAATACCTAAGAATAAAAGTTATGTATAATACAAAATAAAATAAAACAAAAAATCTCAAAACTAAAAAACAAAAAATGTTTTTTTTTCTTAAACCATATTTTCACACTAACTCAATTTTGTTTCTTTTTTTTTCTTTTTTGCATTAATCATATCATACAGTTTTGCATCGAGATATTTGCTTTAGGACATATTTCTCCTAAGAGGTTTTAATGGATTTCATAAAACTATAGATTTGCTCATCTTCA